TGTGAATTTATTTTAGCATTTTATTCCTGTATTATTTTCTTGAATTCTTCCATTTTTTTCCATATTTTCCATGAATTTGTCTATTTCTTCTTCATTTTTGCCTGTTTTTTCTTCAACTCTTGGATAATTCTGAATATTAGGGATTTGAATTCTCTATCAGTTAGGTCTAGTGCCTTTTCTTCTACTGGATGGTCATCTGGTGTTTTATTTTGGAAACCTACTGGAACCATCCTGTCTTGTTTTTGTAAATGTTTTGATATTGGCTGCTGTCTCTGGGGCATTCATTGTCTATTTTCCTTGTTTATTGATTGTAGATTTGTTTGTTCATCCTGCTTTTTTGTTTTATTTGGTTATGTCTGAGCAGAGGGGCTGTGCGTTCTTTGTTGTTTGCACCTCCTTCTCCAATGGACAAGGTCAGTCACTCAGGTATGGTATGGCAGGGCAGTTCCAGCAGAAGGGGAGTTGCTGGGATAGTTTTTTTTTGTGGCACGTGCCAGGGCTGACAGTGTGGACCAGGAATCAGTGAAGGGCAGGTTCCAGAAGGCCGTGCCTCTGTTGCTTGGGAGTGTGATGTTCAGCACTTGGTGCAGTTAGGCAGGAAGGAGGGGGTAGATTGTGAAGTGTGGAGCTAAGATGGGTATGGGAAAGATGAGAGAGAGGAGAGAGGAACAGGAGCCAAAGATATACACACAAACAAAAAAAGAGTGCTAAGGGAGCTTGCTATTGGAGAGGAGAGATGAGAGACTGAGAAATGGGGAAAAACAAAAATGAAAAAAAAAGAAAAAGGGTAATAGAAAAAAATGAATAAATCGAGAAACTGGGAATGAAGAAAGACAAAAGGGGAATAAGAGAGAGAAGAAGACTAAACAAAGAAATGAAAAACAAAACAAAACCCAAAAACAAACAAAAAACCAAGAAAAAAGAAATGCCCCCATGGATGTCCCTGTGTGTCTGTGCAGAGTAAGGGACTAGCTTCCAAGCCATGTGGTACTGCCCGGCTAGAAGGGGCTCCCAAGCCAAGAAAAGAAAAAGTAAAAAAAACAAATCAAAACAGAACAAATCAGAGCAAACAAACACACAAACAAAAGAGCCCCGGGGGTCCCACCAGCGTGACAGCACAGGCCAGGAAGCAGTTTAACAGTTTAGCTGCTCCTTGGAAACTCTATGGGGCAGTTCTGTAGGATAGAATTGCTATGAGTAGAAATTGACTCAACAGGAACAGGTGGTGTGGTGGTGGCACAGTGGCTAAGCGCTAAGCGCTTGGCTGCTAACCAAAAGGTGGGCTGTTGGAAACCACCAGTCATTCTGTGGTAGAAAGATGTGGCAGTCTGCTTTAATAAATACTACAGCCTTGGAAACCCTATGGAGCAGTTCTCTTTTGTCCTATAGGGTTGCTATGAGTCAGAATCAACTTGATGGGGCAATGGGTTTGGATTTTGGGTGTGTATGTGCTTACCAAAGCATTGGGACTGAAAGTTTTAGTGACCCTGTTTTGTAAACCAAAAATGGTTTGCAAAGTCTTAATGACATTTTAAAGATTTGTGATTTTATATCATTAGTTTGTTGATAAAGTTATAATACTAAATTGCATATAGTTAAACAATTTATTAATTCATCTTTCCTTTTAAAAATGTTAGTCTATTTCCTATCAAGTGATGTGCATTTTTTATATAGTTGAGAACACACTGTGAATAGTTGAAGTCATCCAATTTTGTATCCTACATGAGTATTGCATAAATAATTTCTCAAGTCATTAAAATTCTTTATAAAGATAGTTTTTAATAGTCGCACAATTGAATTGTCTATCTTAAAAGGCATTTGATTACATAACATTTGGAATCCCCTTGAAAGTAAAGACATATAGGGGACATAATTGTTAGTGTATGGTTCCTAGATGTACCCATTCCTACTTCCATAGAGCTGTGTAGATGGTCACATTATGTGATGGTTAAGATTGTGAGTCAGCTTGGCTGGGCCATAGTTCTCTGTGTTTATATGTGATCACTCCCATGACTGAATATGCTGTGAGTAGCCAATCAGATGAAAGGGAGTTTCCTTGGGGTGTGGCCTGCATCTGAATATAAGCAGACATTTTGGCTTTTTGCTCACTCTGGATCCTGTGGCTGCCTCCTGTCGTCTCACCTCTGGTTCTTGGGACTGGAGCTGTCAGCTTATCTGCCAAACTTGGGATTTGTCAATCTTCACAGCCTGTGAGCAGAGCCCTGCTCTCTGACCTGCCGATCTTGGGTTTGCCAGCCCCTGCAGCTATGTGAATCAGGAGAAACCTTGCGGTCTTGCCTTCCCATCTTGGAATTCGTCAACCTTCACAGCCTGTGAGCAGGAGCCCTGCTCTCCGACCTGCCAATCTTGGGCTCACCAGCTTCTGCAGCTGCATAAATTGGGAGAGGCCTCTACCCTGATCCACGGACTTGGGACATTCTAGCCTCTACAATTGCGTGAGCTCTTTCCTTGATATAAATTTCTCTCTATATATATTTATACGCTTACTGGTTTTGCTTCTCTAGACAACCCAGCCTAAGACACTTTCTTTCTAATGGCTTATTCGATCAAGTATACTCTTCCTTCCCTAAGCAGAATTACTCTCATGGCTCATGCCTTTTTGCAACTTGGAGATTTTTGGATCTGTTATACACAATTTGTCAGTGCAGTGCAATGAATTACTTAATATGGCCCTTCTAGCCATGGTCTTTGTGACTCACACACAATGATTGAGTGGGACTATGCAAATAAGATGTATGGAAACACAGATGGTTGAGTTTATGTGTCAACTTGGTTAGGTCATGACTCCCATGTTGTATGGTCGTCCTCCATTTTATTGCTGTAAATCCTAACTTCTACGTGTTAATGAAGGAAGATTGGTGTAGGGTGTATCCTGAGTCACAGCCTTAGGGGAGGGTATAACTCAAGTCCCACCCTTACTCAAGTTATGTCCTTCCCTGGAGTGTGGCCAAGGTATATATGTGGGTGCCCTGGCAAGTT